AAAAAARRAAAAGAAATAACTAAAGAAAAGTTTTAAAATAAAACAAAAGAAAAAGAAAAGGGAAAACAAATCTAGGGCACCATCTCATCTCTTCCTTTTGGGAAATTGACCCAAATGACCCAGCAAAGTTTTYACTTTGCTCAAATAACCYACCCCTCAAAAAWWWTTTTCCTAACCCAAAACAGCTTTTTCTGACACGTCAGTGGAAGTAAATGTACTAGATTACCCCTCATTTTATATTCATTACAACTTTAAAGAAGTCCCAGACCTCGGGCGAGTTTTATTCGAACTCGCCCGAGTTTTTGTGAAATTTTCTCTGAATTTGTTCACGGGCGAGTTTTTATACTTTGGGTATCTCAAACAGTTTAAAATATTTATAATTTTAATTGTCATTCTTAATAGCAAATTAACATCCATCCTAGTGGCTTCAGACCCCACTCTTTTTCCTTACTTACCACACGTGTATATGGTAGGAATTGAGGCTCAACACAAACAAATGAAATTTCGGCTCACGACCAGTAAGCCAAAACGTATATTTTTAACATATTATACAAATACATATTATACAAATACATACATATATATATATATTGAAAACSTTGCCTAAAAAACAACCCAAGTTATGGATACTCGCCTGGTTTTTTTTCTGGCGAATTTCATAACTCGGGCGAGTTCTCCTCAAACTCTCCCGAGTTTTCGCCTCTCGTTTTGGCCCTTGGATAATTTTTCGGTAAACTTTCCCGGGCGAGGTCATGCCCGAGAAATAACACATAGGCCTTGCCCAAGTTTAAGCATCTCATTTTGGCCTCTACTTTATTTCCCGGGCGAAGTCATGCCCGAGAACTAAGGCAGAGGCCAATTATCGGGAAAAATTTATGAGTTTTGGATTCTATTTTTGGCCACTCGTTTATAATATATATATATATATATATATATATATATATATATCCGTAAACAAAATTATTGATTTGAGATTGCATGAGATTTATGTCCATTTAATTTCAACAAACCCAAATTAAAAATAATAATAAAATTGAGGGCGAAGATTATATGAATCCCAACCGAGATTTTGCAATTTCACTGTAATTCAAGCCCGAGATTGAAGTATAGCATAATAGTGGGATGCTTACGAAGCCATTGAGTAATGCAGTATCTTTTTTAAGTATAGTGAGATTTATGAATTTTGGGCGAGATTTATGCAATTTCGGGTGAGATTCAAGCCCGATTTTGTGGACATTTAATTTCAACAACCCCAAATAAAAAAAAAAATCAAGGGGTCCAGATTTATGCAATATGGATTGAAATCCGAGATTATATTGGTATCTATTTGAAAGAATGATTCGTTGTTATAAACAAAAGCTCAAGAAATTTGAAAGAAAGTAAAAAATATATATATAAAGTTGGAAGAAATAGAAACAAAACAAAGGGTATTTTGTACTTTAACATCACCTAATTTATCATCAAGGGTATAAATGTAATTTCAGTTCATTTTTAACTAATTAAAATAATAAAATAGGTTAGAAAAAACAATTTTGAATGGATAGGTTATTTGAGAACACCAAAACTTTTTGTGGGTCAAATCAGTCAATATCTGCTTCCTGTTCTTCCTTTCCTTACCCTAGTCGCTGGCCCCTCCTCCTTGCCGGTGTTACCTCCGGCGACACTATACCTGCGACGGCGTGATGTGACCCGATGGCAGCAGCAACGACCCTCCACAGACGGCATCGATTTGCGATGTCTCTCCGGTGGCACGCCTTCAACGAACAAGAAACACAACGRTGGCATTCGTTTTCTGGCGTAGATTAGGCACCGCTCGAGGCGACACATGGTTGCAGAACTCACGACGACAATTTCTGCACCTGTTCGYGACAGCTTCGGTGTCTGGCCACGCCAGATCTRCAACGGCGACACTCCACTCGTGAGCTCTCCGACAATCCACACCTCAGCGGTGGCACAGTGTGTTCTGCACTGGCGCAACTTCCTACACGCAGCGGCGAGATTTCATCCTACACGCAGCGGATTACGTGTTCTTAGCTCATATTCGGCGAATCTCTGGCGACCCACGRCCGTGTGTGTTCCAAAGACCACATACAACTCCGATTTGTGGCGTTTGCTCCCTTTCGGAGACGTTAGACAATTACCTACACATAACCGGAGCTTGATTCATGATACCCACTCTATTCGGCATTGGTTCAACATTGATCCACTTGTAATCGGACCCAAATCTGCGTTACCCATCAGTTTTCGGCATCGGGACAGCAAGCCTAAGGCCATCAGTTTTCATTTTGAGAGCCCGAACATCCTCGGCGTCGACCCAGTCCTAACCCATGAGGTTTTAGGGTGAGTTAGTAGGTAACAAATCACCTCAACTTAGTTTCGACGCAAGTTAAGTGTTTTTGAGTTGGATTCTAACCCAAAGCTTGGTCTCTTTCGATTTAGGAAGCCTTCGGTGAAGTTTAGGAGCCTTAGGACCTTGAGTAAATAGTTTCTTACTGAAGGGATTGTTTGTTGTGTGTTGCTATGAACGTGTTTGTTTGTGTGCCTATGAATGTTGTTGTTGCATGATTGCTTGCGGTTGGTACTACTTTATACATATTGGTTGTGTTCTGAATRCTATGAAACTTTTTTTGAGTGTTGGATGCGTTTCTGGATATATGTCGGCTACGTCTCTTTTGTGAATTATATACGTGGTGGTGTGTAAAGCATGTTGAATGTTGAGAGAAAGGTTTTCTTGTGATGTTGGATGGCCATGTCTAGATGATAGTGGCATATGTTTCGTGTATAATGGATGTTGCATTGTTTGAGATAATTTCTGCATGGGTCATGACTCAGAAGCATGTAGGACTGTGGTGAGAGTTTCGAGATATAATGAAGTGTGTGGATGAGTAACAGGGTCAGAGGGCTGGTACGCCACTAGTTGGGTATCGAGACTCCAGGTGCGAAGGTCAGGGATCATACCCCAACTTGGTAGAGATGAGTGTCGAGGCTCCG